TACCAAAGGCTAGTTGCAATGGAGAGGAAATGTTGCATCATTCCTTGGCCTAATTTACGTCATTCCTTGGCCCCTTTACAAGGCCATGTAGGGATAGGACAAGGGGTAATGGCTTTGAATTAAAAGAGGGTGGATTTAGATGAGATATAAGGAAGAAATTCTTCACTCTGAGGGTGGCGAGGCCCTGGCCCAGGTTGCCCAGAGAGGCTGTGGCTGCCCTCTCCCTGGCAGGGTTCAAGGCCAGGTTGGATGGGGCTTGGAGCAACCTGGTCTGGTGGAAGGTGTCTCTGCCCACGACAGGGGGGTTGGAAATGGGTGACCTTTAAGGTCCCTTCCAACTGAAACCATTCTGTGATTCTATGCCTCTAATCCGGTTGCTGTGCAGTGCTGTGACTACTGAGCAATGGCAGCAGCCTGGAACCACTATTTCTGGGCTGCATCCAGCTGCTCAGACACTTCTGCAGAAAAGCTACTGGAAGCCTGCTCACATGGGGTAGGAGACAGATTACACCCCCAAAAAAAGAAAAAAAATTCAAACTGCCATCTTCCTCATCTGCAAAATTAATGCTTGGTGCTCCACTTCATCCGCGTACCGTTGAAAGATTCTTCACTGTTATTATGTCTGAAGAGTTTTTTTCCAAATGTCATATTGGCATGTAACAACCACAATATTCGTAACATGCAGGTGAACTTTCATAAAGCAGAGGAGAAAATTAACATTCTTCCTTATCAGAGGAAATTGAATATTATTTTTCATTCCATCAAAACATCTCTTCACAGACAGGATAAATCCCATAAATTGCTTTAACCCATGTATCCGCCTGAGTCCGTTCTATACGCTATTGTAACAAAGCATGTAATCAACGAAAATGAGCATAATTGCCAACGAGCGCAAATACAGGTTTCTGGATTCAATTTGCAGACATTTCATAAGTGACCATTTTACCATATGTTTACATTTAAAAATAAGAATAAACTGTATTAGAATGGAAGGTAAAAGGGTATGCACTAAAAATTTATGCAGAAAGCATCCCATAGCCATGATTACCATTATAACTGTCCATTCAAATCTAGTCTTTTCTCCCCACATGTAAATGTAACCAAATCACAAAGCTTGGCCAAATACTAACCCGTTTCAAGGGACGGTGGGGTCCCGTGCTACCAGGCATCATAGCCAGACTCTCCTTTCATTCCTCTCTACCAGGTAGGAACAAGAAACGACTGCACATGATTCCATTTATTGAACTGTTGTTCACGTGAATTCCTCATTTTTCTGCATCCATGTTTCTAGTCCTAGCTATCCCGAGGGGTCAGACAGACTTCTCTAAGGCAACCTCACAGCTTTACAACTTTCTCGAGTGGTTACACCCCCCCAAACACGTCTCGTCCCCCTCCGTGCAGCTACGCCGGGCAGGGGGGACTGCCACCACCCAGGGAGATGCCCATCCCCGCAGACACAGACCGGGAGGAACTACCCACGACCTCCTTTCCCTTCCACGGCTGCCAGAAGCAGGAGGCATGACCCGGCGTAAGCGTTATGAGTCAGATCGTGTCACATCGCAGCAGCCTAACGGCACGGCCGGTGGCACTCGTCATGTCAGCAGTCAACTGACAGCAACAGAGTCCCCTGTCAGGTCGTGGCACTGGAATCGAGTAACACAGGCATATTGCTGGCACGTAAAGTATGCGCATGGATACGCCTTCATAAAGATAATATAAATCAAGCTCCTGTCCAGGACAGGTGCATGTCACAGCCGTAAGATGCGGAAGTTAATTCAGTTAAATTGCATTTTAAACCAGACTGAACTGTAATCTGTCCCGAGGCACGTTAATATACCAGGTATCCTGATTCACCTTTCAAAAGATCCTGAGTTAGATCATTTTTTTTCCGCATTACTACCTCCCACTTGAAAACAAGCCCCAAAATTATATTTAAACTACATTTCTCCTTCCGTGCAAACCGTTACATATTTAGAAAAATATCAGTCTTTCAAGAAGCCAGCTATGCTATGTTAGCAGCTACTGACCTGATCTCTAATGGTAACTTTCTACTTACCAGGACTAATCCAAACTGGACGTGCTCAACTGATCTTTCTTCCCCAAGACAATACTTTCTCCATTTCCTGATGAAACTGGCCACGAATGTAAGTGCACTTAGGCAAAGAAAACTACACAGTTAGGTTCTTTGACACATTTGAATACAAGCACAAGCTAATATACAAGTCTTTAGCTACGTTGCCTTGCAGGAATTTTTACACTACCCTGCTTCCAGAGCAAAGAAAATCACAGCCGTTGTTCTTGACTGTAGCACCCAAGTTCAAGTGTTCAGTGATGCTTCTGGTGGGGTTGCAGGTCAGTGGGGATCCAGCCCTACCAACATGAAAGCTCCCCAAGACTTCCGGATACTTCTCCAGGAAAACTGTCGTTTGATGCTACATACCTCATACAAAAGCTCAGATGTTTGCAGGGTCTAGGCACAATAACATGCATAAATGTGGTACCTGTGCATGTAAACATCCCGTTTCTGAGCCTCGCCAAAATGACTGCAGGAATCAATACTTCTTGGTAGTTTGTTTTCTGTGGTGTCTTACTTCAGTTGCTGCTATTTTGTTTTACTGCTTTGTGTTACAGAGTCTTTGAATGGAGGAGAGAAAATGCCACAGAAGAGAGAGCTCAGAAATAAAAAGGAAAAAAAAAAAAAAAAAAAAAAAAAAAAGAGGCACATTTTTAACACCCAAAACAAAAAAAAAAAAAAAGAAAAAGAGTTGCACATTTTACAGCTGCAATACCAAAGTATGAAACACCTGGCAGCAGACATTGAAATCAATAGTGTTGAAACAAAAGATGACAAAACGCAGACTCCTTCATTATCTGGTTATTAACTACCACGACAGATTTCAGAGCATTTGGCAAACTCTTCACCCGCAGATGCGTTTACTCACAATCACATGCACATCTTCATGGGATGCCCTAGCTGGGGGTGCAGGACTGACCTCCTGAATGGGACTGAGATCTCCCTCCTGTCTTCAGCAGGGGTCAGCACCAGCTACTTCAGCATAAAGTTTAGAAACCCCAAATAGGCAAGAATTTGGAGAAATCCCTCTTCCACGTCATGACTCACTCTGGGCTCTGAAAGGTGGGAACCACAGGAGGCTGGGCATTGCTCCCAGCAGGACACCCAGGGCTCTTACAAACAGCAACCATCTTGGTATCCATCTAAACAACCGATGCCTTATTTTGCATGACGCTGCATTCTCAGCCTCGTGGACGCTGCAGGGCCACCAGCTCCTCGGTTCCATTTCACAGCTTAATTCAGTCTTGAATTATCAAACAGATGTAATTTCATCGTGACGTTTGAATCACCGCGCTGTCCAAGCTGGACGATGAGCGGACACGGGATTCATGTCCACGCCGGCAGACGCAGCCCACGGCCGGCAGTGGCTGTCTCACGACACCCTCGTGAGCTTTCCCCTCTGTTCATTTTATTTTATTTTACAAAGTCAAACAGATGCACTCTCATCTCCTGCATCGGACATCACGGTTTGGACTGTAATTCACCCCGATGTTGAGGGCAATGACCATGTTACAGCTGTCATTTTTTGTTATTCTTACACCAACTTTCCCACTCCAATGCCTTTTGGAACAGCACGCTTAAGTGAGTTTATTTCTTCATTATTCAGAGATAACCATTCTCCTCACATTGTAACCCACAGACAAAATATATTAAGATGCGGCAGTATTCTTCCTAACAGCACTAGATCATTATTCTCCTTGTAGCTTTTATTCTATACATGTTGCTCAAAGGTTCAGTGCAGGGCAGGGTTAAAAAAATATTTAGGCCCCCAGTGTTACTGGGGAACATCACAGATCCTGCTTTTTGTACCATGAACAGTTACAGCCCTAAGGTAGAAAGCAGGGCCAGCAGACCATCTTCAGGGCCAGAAAGAAGTGAGACAATTTCCCCTCGCAATTCCACCTGCCTTCCTTTTTAATGCCAGGAGAGGAAAGCGCATTCCTGGCCTTGCTTTGGTGACACAACATCATCTCAATCCGACGCTGTGGGAGAAGCGCTGGATGGGTGGGATCCTGCCCTGGGGAGGAAACCTATCTGCAAATCCATCATTTTTCCAATGACACCGCAACATTCAAATCACTTTCCATAGCTGTGAACAGCAACACAACCAGACGAGCGCTGCCTTCTGCCCTAGCTATACCTTTCTCCTGCGATGATCCGCTCTGAAGTAACTGCGGATTGAGAAGGACCGCACAGGTGCGAGGCTGGTAACTATTCTTTTCTTCTCTCCTTTCTAATTATTGGAATAAGCAGCAGCATTGAGCTAAAAATAAGACCAAGCATCCTCCAGATCTGCAATTATTCTCTCAACTTGTACTTGTCTAGAATATCTCTTTCACTAATCACTGCTGCACAAAATATGCCAGAATTGTTTGAAATCCAAGTCCAATCTCAGACACAGTAGAAGACTAATAAGGAATGTTGTTTACACACATTTAATTCAACACACCAGAAGCAATTTTCTCACTCTCTTTAGCATTTTATTTGCTTATAAATACAAGTCAATACCACAAGATGGCACTTTCTTACTTGCGACACACAGTATTATAAACACTAATCCTCTTCAAATGTTCCCAGATGTTTACGACATCTAATTTCTCAGTGGTTTTGAAACATTTAAAAAAGCAAGACCTTCTACAAACTGCATTTGTGTTTGATGTATATTAAATGAGGTCAGGTAATTAAATTCAAAAAAAGAATTTATAAATATTTCAGATAAGAAAATTTAAATACAAAAGCAGAGTTTGTATTAATTAAACTGAATAACGATTTAAACTGGCCATAATGTATCTACATGGTTTAATTTAATTTAAAATACTTTTTAAACAATCAAATCCTCTAGCCATTCATCAAAACACCTATCTACCCAACTCTTTTAAAAATATTCTTAAGTTAAGAAGCCACCTATGCTTTTTCATAACAATCCTTATTCTGTCCTGTAGGTGGAAATAAAGCAAAATCATATCCCAGACTAGAAAACAGGATAAGAAGGAAGAAACTTTAAAAAACCTGATAACTTCAGACACTTCAACTCATTCTTCCTTGCGTTTCTCAAAATACATCATCCGGTTTTAAAGTCTTTGAACGAAATGTAAACACTAGAAAACTCATTGTTGAAATATGTGAAGAATAAAGAACCCTGCACTAATATAGTGCATAATGATGCTGTGTCAAACTTGTCATTTACAGTAAATGTCACATTTTCCTCAGGATTGTCATGCCTTTTATTTTTTTCTTCACTAATTCCTTTTGATGTCTGTAGATTCTCTCGGGTTTTTGTATTCCCATTGCTGAACAGGAAGAGATGTATTTTCTGGTCTCTTGAGAAAAGTTGCACAAGATCTAAGTCTTTGACTCCATTTTTTTTAATAAAGAGGTGGCAAAAGTTTAAGCTTGCAATACTTCTGTTCTGCCCAGTATATTACACATCAGGAGATTCCTCAAAAAACTGAGAAGTCTGAGAGTCCCAAAAAAGAAAGCAGTTAAGGCAGTCGATGTCTAAATTTGGATTTCTTTTTTATGTTACATATCAATGTCTCCGTCATAGGCTAAGGTTAGAGGCTTCTGCTGTGGAGGAGTGCTTTGATGCTGCTTTGTTTTTTTGCTGCAAGAAAAATATTTCAGGAGGCAAAATTATAAACTGTAATAAGCTCAGAAACATCATCAAAACCCCAACTTCCACAAAAAATCAGCTTCCCACAACGGCTATTTCATTTTGCAACTAGGTGACGCTGCAGTACAGTGACTACTTCCAAGAAGAACCACACGGACCTGCTTGGGTGCCATTCCGTGTGTGGTACAGGGACACAGCCTGCCAACAACGGGCAGCCAACCACGCTCATCGTCCAGAGAGGAAACAGAGCGTACTTGTCTCCCATGTCTTCTCACAGCTGACAAAACAAGGAACACCTCGCAGAAAAATTGAAACCTGAACTGTTTAGGAGTGGGATATTCTCATTTTTTCTTTGGCATGGTATTGAAGCAACAAGAATTACTGTTGAGAAACACACTTCCTCACCAGCCTTCAAGTGATGAAGAACTACATAATGTTATTTAAAAAAATCCACCGTATGCTCCACTGTGAAGCCACAGAGAAACGGTAGCTACATGGCTTGGAAAATAAGGAAGCTGCAACTCCTAACCAGCGTCGAAACGCTGTTATTTAAGCTCCTAATTGAAGAGAAGGACTGAGAGAAAGATTAAAAGAGTGAGAGAGAATAAAGTGATTTTGGATGAAAGAGGGCAATGATGCTGCCAGGCCATGGCTGTGACTCTCTGGTTGCCCGCCCTGATCTGACACGGGTTGGGGCAGCTTGCGCCATTAAGGTTTGTAAAGCCCAGGCCAGCTCCATGGCCCTCAGGGACAGCTGTGGGCATTGCAGGACACACGGACGCTGGCCACTGCTCCCTTCGTATCCTCCAAGACCCATCAACGGCAGAGCCCTTCCAAACGCTCAAACCAGAGAGTGCAACACCAGCCCTGTCAAGCTCAGCCTACCACCCCTGCCCGGGGCGACTGGGGCGACCATCGCTTTGCAGGAGGGTGGACACGTCTCCCACCAGTAGAGCCCACCACCAGAGATGCACTGGTGTAGACCAGGACACCCAGCACCCTATTTCCAACAGTGGCTGGTAACAGCAGCTCCAGACACATGACATGTTTCCACCTGATGTATTCACTGCAAAAATCTATTTAGGGATTTCCTGAGCTGGAGAGTACATCCAGAAAACCACAATTAACACCAAGAGACCCCGTCTCCCGTGAATGTTATGCCATCTCTGAATCCATTTATCTTCCTGGCATGCACAGTCCCTGGCAGCGGTAAGCTCACAGGGTAATAACACACTGTGTGAAAAATAAAATCTTTTGTTTATTTTAAACGATCATTTCATCAGATGCCTCCTACATCTTATATTGTGGGAAATAAAAATTCCCTAGCGCCCTATTCTACTCCATTCATGATTTCATAGATCTCTATTGTATTCCCACGTCAAACATCATTTTCCAACTGAATGCCCCTATTCTATTTAGTCCTTCCTTGAGCGGAAGCCAGCTCCTCGATCCAATCAGCCTCCTTGCCTTTTTTCAGTTTTACTTTATCTTTTTTTTTTTTTTGAAAGATACAATAAAAAGCCCTCTCTAATGCCACCAGAAGTCTGAATAAATATAAGGGTCTACCGATCACCAAAAATAATTCTTTCCCTGCATGGCCACCACACTCCTTCATGATTACAGCAGATAGAATTTACAATTCGGAGAGTTTTAAATTACTCTGAGGTAGGGGCCAAATGCAGGCAGTTACACAATCCAAGTGCTATCTTTCCTAAAGCCTTGAGGATTAAATCTCTGCAACACAGAGCGTTGTGATATATTTTGGATTATTTAAACAAAAGCAAATTTGCTTTTAGTTAAGGACAAAATACATGCCACACTCACCACATCAGGTAGGATGTAAAAATCAGGAAAACTATGATGAGGAACCCGCCAGCCGATACTCCATATACCCACATCTTCAGTTTCCCATCTGTAGGAAGATGAGGAAAAAGGACAGAGGGAGAAAAGGGGAGAATAAAAAAAAATATTCTGAAATACACAAATTATTAAGAGATTAAGCAAAGAGAAAAGACACAAGCAAACGGGAAACACAGCAACGATTGGCTGGGGATAATCCATAAACCCCACACTTTTGACAGAAAAAGATTCCTGTAAAAATCAATCGGTTTAAAGACAAAATCTTAGCTTTGGTAAGGAGCGTAGGTTTTCCTCAATGAAAACTGAAAATGAACGCTTCGCCTCGGTTTCCCAAAGCAGCATTATTTCCTAACCTCCCCTCTGGCTGAGCTCCTGCAGTTCATTACGGGCAGCCCGGGCACGTGGTGCAGCGCAAGAATTACAACCCAGCCAGGCTCCTGCCCGTGGAAGGGAGCTGGGGCACGAGATAATTGCAGCACATTCACTCAGGAGCCCCAGTGGCCTCTCTGGCAAAGGCAATGTTGAGCTGACCCAGACAGAAACGCAGGTAACGACTGATACGTTTAGCCTCAAGAAAAGAGGGCTGAGAAAGGACAGGATTGTTCTCTGTAAATACTTGGGGGTCAAGTGGGGTAAACACCAGTGAGCATAAGTGAACAAGCTACTTAGAGCTGAAAAATGCTTGGGCAACAACTGGGAATAAATTCGGCTTAGAACAAAAACAAGAATACGCTTTGTAATAGTGAGAGGGATAAAGTTGTCCAAGAGCTTTCCATCTGGGCCACAGGAGCAGGGGCCATAAGTGGCTTTAAGACAAGGAAAGACTCTTGTCAGGGCTGTTCGGGTTGCAATGCCAGGGGACCCACTCTGCGGCCCTTGCAGGAACCCCTCCATGCACATGTGAGCTTCAGTGTGTGGAAATATTTCCCTCTGACAGAAAGTCTCAGGTTCTGGAGTGTCCAGTTCAAGAAAGATGAGGAGCTACCGGAGAGAGTCCAGCAGAGGGCTACGAGGATGATGAGGGGACTGGAACATCTCTCCTATGAGGAAAGGCTGAGGGAGCTCGGCTTGTTTGGCCTGAAGAACAGAAGGCTGAGAAGGGACCTTATCAATGCTTCTAAATATCTGAAGGGTGGGTGTCAGGAGGATGGGGCCAGACTCTTTTCAGTGGTGCCCAGGAACAGGACAAGGGGCAACGGGCACAAAATGAAGCAGAGGAAGTTCCAGTTGAACACAAGGAAGAACTTCTTCCCTCTGAGGGTGATGGAGCACGGGAACAGGCTGCCCACGGAGGTTGTGGAGTCTCCTTCTCTGGAGATATTCAATACCCAGCTGGACAAGGTCCTGTGCAGCCTGCTCTGGGTGACCCTGCTTCATCAGGGAGCTGGACTAGATGACCCACAGAGGTCCCTTCTAACCCCTACCATTCTGTGATTCTGTGATTCTGTCTCAAAACACATTGTTTGGACAGGTCCTTAACTACAAGCTTCGCATTAATAACAATAATAATAATTTTTAAAAGACCAATACTTCTGGTTCTTGCTCCGATCTGGCTGTAGAGCTTTCCTTGTGGGGAACAGTGATGCTATTTTTCCCGCGCAGCAGCAGTCTGAGCTGATTCACCTCACCAGAGCGGTTAATACATACTGGAGGCAGGAATACGGGCCTGCGCCCTGCCCGCGGGTTGACAGACACCGTTTCAAACTCAGTCATGCGAGCGGGGAGTTAATTCACAGGACAATCACTGAGCCTGTTTTACATTTTATGTTTGAATGATGAATTCTTTTCCAAAGAGAAACATATTTAATCAGATCCCATTCTTTCTCTGTGTTCTTCCAGGCTTTGTGGAAAGGCTGAGTACCTCTCACAGATTTTCTCTTCTTCTCAAAACACTTGCAGCCTATCTTCCATAAGAGATCTGTTCATCAGGTCTGGGTTGTTGTTTTTTTTTTCACTAAAGCATGGGTATGAAGTTTGTCACCCTCTCAACTGGAGATGGCCAAGAAGCATTCAGCAGTCCTGCAAAGGGACCGTCACAGCAACAAAAAAGCATCCCACCATGTCTGCTGTGAAGGCAGCTAGGCTCTCATCCCCAACATACAGGCATTGGACCATGTCATCCTGCAATTTAAACCATGCTATTTAAACTGCCTCTCAACTTGAAAAAAGTTTCCGTACCTGAACTCTGGCCTCCCAGAGTGTGGTACAGAAAGGAAAAACACAGCCTGATTCAAAATCAGTCCTGTGTGCTCCTGCAGAGCATTTAAAAGAACAAAAAACATCAGCCTCATTAAATCGTAATAGAAGTTGTGTTGCAAACTGTAAACGGGAAGGGAAATCAGATATTAACTGGAGAAAGGGACGTACACTTCTACTGACAGATAGAAGTCCTCAGACGTACGCAGATGTCAAGGACTGTGGTACTGAAGGGTGGTGAATGCCTTCCGGGGGGCATTCACCATAGACCTGCTATCAAGAGCGCAACCGGTAGGTAACAGCAGTTTCCTGGCTCAGCTAGCAGTAATTATTGCAAACCCCAGACTAGTAAGCCTAAGAGCCTGTTTAAGGGCAGCAATTATGTATTTTGTCAAGAAGCCTGACAAAGAGGCGTGATTTGAAGAGGACCAGCCTTGAGCTGGTCTCAAGGGCACACACAGACCGAAGAGTTGCCTGCAGGGTGCCATGGGCTTGGCGATACACTTAGCACACACGGAGCACGTTTATTCCCTTCCCATATACTTTTTCTGTAACACTTCTGCCCTAAAATTACACAGCACCATGTTCTGTAGAGCTCCTTAGTCCCTATTTCTGTCTTGTAGCCCCCGGGGGAGAACTGGTGCATGTATGCTGCACTGAGGTCAAGCCCACCAGAAGCTTTCAGGGCTGCAGTCTTGAATGTTGATTTAAAAAGAGAGGATTGCAGCATCCACCTACACCTCTCTCCCTTTTTCTAACCCTGTAAAGGTACCAGCAGAAGAGATGACACCTAAGTAAGACAGCCTGCAGAGGGCTATGGATGCTGACAAAAAGGCAATTAACCCCAGACCTGTGACTCAAACTGCTGGTGAACTGCGTGAGCTTCTGGATGACGGGCTTGATCAAAAACCAGCCAACTTCAAAAGGCTTTGGACCGAGTTCTATGAGCTCGGAGACTGTCAATGCAAAGGTTAACTACTCTATGCAAATCAAATATGTAAATGTAACATTCAAAGTGTGATCACATATATCAGACAGAATTATGGCTCCCTGAATCCCATAACAGAACCTTTCGTTACATGTTTTCTAAAGTCTTGTGTTCATTACAAAATAATAGGAAACAAATGCAATGTCAGGTAACAGAGGAGGGGGAAGACTGCGCTGCCAGGATTTTGGAATATGGGGAGAACTAACGCATTTCAGTAAAAATCGAGCGCCTGACACCTCTGGCTCCCATTTTAAAGTCCTATTTGCATTTCAGATATTTATTTTGAATGAATCAATCTTGCAAAATAACAGTCAAAATTATAATCAGCTGTTACAGTTACAGTACCAGCCCTGTGGACCAGTCTGGGCACATCCAGCACGCAGTTCCAACTGGGAAGCATTTTTTGGTGTGGGAGTCAAAGATCCACTTCGGATGCACTGCTTGGGCACAGTAGCTTGTCTGCTTTTTGAGTTGTGTTTTTTTTTTAATATCTTAACTTCAGCTCTTAAAACTCTAAACTCCACACTTTCCACGCTGTTTTTCTCATATACTTTCGAAATATGGCAAGTAACAATGTTTTCTATAATGAAATCTTAAGTACTTTGTGCTCGGAATCTTCTGAAGCGCTAGTGATCAATATCTTTCTTTGTCCAAACATATTACTTCTAGAAACATCATCAGATAACAGTTCCAAGCATCCCCCCCCAGTCACATATGAGTATATTTTTGCAAAATATTATTGCTTCATTCTGTCTTTGCTATCTCTCAGCGTCAGAGATTGTGATTACCCTGTACAGGCACAAAGGAATGAAAGATGGCATGCGAGTTAGAAACTGGGAGGCTGCTCTGCAGCTCCCAGACACAATCTCTGATGTTATGATCTACAAAGCTTGTACCTTTCTTCTACAGAAGCATTGTAAAGACAATTTATTCCATTCATATTTAAGTTTTTCACCTGGATTAAAAGGTTGAATAGACCATCCTTTGAAAATGTCATGCATTTTTGAGTTGACAGGTTTATTTTTTCCTGCAATGGTCTTAACATCAGCTTTCTTATCTTCTAAACCTGGTACCTTCATGCAGTAATCCAGGGAACCATTTGATCTCATTATTTCTGTATATCCTCGCTCACAACCGCAGACTCCTCTCTAGGTGATAAAAGAGAATTCAATATTAAACCAAATAGTATCCTCCCACAGAACAGCGCAAATTGTAGGCCAGCTATGAAGAAACTGGAAGGTATTATCCTGCACACACAACCTCACCACCATCAAACCAAACCAGTCAGAAACCGGTGCCTGCAAACCCCTTTCAGTTCAAAAAGCCAACATATATTTGGGGAATTGGTTGAAAAAGAGTCAACAATTACACAGAAGCCCAACAGACAAATATTTTCATCCTAACAGGCTTAATAACAGGCATCTGTGGCTTGATCCAAACTCTTCTCATCAACAATTTTCCGACTGAAGAGATGCACAAGGAACACTCACACCTCAGACCCAAGCCCTCCCCGTGTATTCCCACCCCAGTACTTCACAGGGCTCTCTGAAATGAAGCTTGCTTTCTTACAGCCAAATATCCACTGCCCTGAATCAGTCTAACAGTTTTGTCAAGAGGTTTCTTAGAAGTCTGTGGTTTGCTAAATAGATACTCCATTTTTTAAAATTTCTACTTTAAAACAGCTTTTTTAGATTGTTTTTCTTCACTAACTATCTTATAATTGCAATACCTGTTCGAGGGTCTGGTACCCTCGGTTACAATCCAAACAGGCAGTTGATTTACAATATCTCAGTGATAAGAATTTAGCTCTTGACATCAATTTTGTTGTCACAACATCCCCCACTTGTTGACAGACATGATCCAGAGCTTTTTTTGACAAAAGATGCAGTCTCAAGAGTTTTTTTAGCTCACAACTTCATGCTTACCCATCACTTATGTTCCCGTAGGCTCTGAGCACTCTAACGAACATCCTCTCAGCCACATTTGATGGCCCATGAGCTAGTTTCCAATGGCAATTCCTCAGCTGAAGCTGAGAGCTGCGGAGGCTATTTTCAAAATATAAATACCTAAATCCAAACTGCCTCTGACTACTTTAAGGGTTCTGGGTTTTACACTCCATCACAGTACTGACAGGGATAAGACATTTCGGGAAGCCCTTACTCTGGAGTTTGGTACTGCAGGAAGGGCCATGCATAAGCTCTGGGCTCGTCTTTGCTCGGAGGCGAAGAAGGGGCAGTGCTTCCGTGACTCAGCAAGTGTTGCAGGTGCTCAACTTTTCAGCAAAAAAGGCCACTTCCAGGTTTTGCTTTAGAAGGCCGTGTGGGGATGGTGGGATCACGCTGCTACAGCTTCCCCACACTCACGGGGGCCTTCTGTGTCCATGGAGTGGACATGCTCTTTTTATCTGCTCTTTTACAGAAGTTCTAAACAGTCCACTTTCTTCAGGACAGTACAATAGCATTCAATGAAAATTAAATCCAGATGATCCAAAAGCCCTCCACGGAACAAAACCAAACTTGTAACACCACATAAATACTCCATCACTTGTTTGTGCAGGTTTGTTTTTCTTTCAGACTGAAATTCCAACTACTTCCTCGAGGTGGTACCATGGACACACTAAACTATTTTCTAGGTTCTGGAATGCATTTAAGATACAGAAGCTAATTGAACAGATTTTGAGGTGTTAATTTCTCCACTGTATTCTGCAGCGAGCAATTACCTGTGTGCAGTAGGAGAACGGCTTTCTGCACGCCGGGCTGCAGTGCCAAACTTCAGCGGGTTTCATCCGAAGAGCACACCCTCCTGAAAAAGAAACTCCTGAGTGCCTTCAAGGGTATGTTTTTAAATGTTTTTGGCGTGGATCACCACAGCGTAAGAACTGTTTGCTTGCTTATTTCATATAGTTAAATACTAGTCTATATTGAGCACATTAGCATAGTATCTGTAGGCATCGCATTAATTAATTTGCCTTAACAAGGCAGGGAATTATTATCATACCCATCTTGTTAATGGAGAACAGAGATATACAGATATAAGCAATTTGCCACAGGCCACATAGGAAGTTGGGGACAGAATCGGGAATTAGATGCAGATCTTCTATGTCCTCATTAATGTCTTATCTACATAAGAAGACATAATCCACATAGCGCCTTGCCCATCCTCACTTGGGGAAGTCTGTGCTTCTACAGAAATAAAAACATGTTAATGAGTTCTTAACTACTCGGCAGCCTTTGCACATAAAACTTCTGTTATTATCTTAACTAGTCATCATAAATAGAACGAGATGAGAACACCTGCATTTTGATTTCTACTCTCTCCTCGTTTGCCCCTGGCATATTGAGAGAGATCCTGGGGATGTGCGAGCCCTACTGCCTCTGCCAATCTCTTATGGAGTTTCAAAGTGCTGACCACGAATTTCCCTTTTTCATCCTGCACAAGCAGAATTTGTAGGTCACAGCAACAGCAGGAATCTCACAGTTTGAGCGATTTGAGCCTCCTGTGTGTCGAACAGAAGCAGAGGTACAGAAGCTGGGCTCTCTACCACACGTGTGATGTGCTCTTCTGTTCTCCACAGTTACAGGAAAACTGCACTAACGGCTGTGCAAGCCAGCCCAGGCAGCCCTTTTAGTACACGTACACTCATTTCTTCCCATGACCAATACCACAGTAGGGATAACTCGCCCAAATACTCTCATGTAATAACACGTGTGATGTTGACCTGACAGCAAGGCTGGCGAGCTCCCATCTGTCTTTCCTACACACAAATCTGAACTGAAATTCTGGAGGAGTTGGGAAGGATGTCCAGCTTCCCTCTGCGCAACTGATGCAGAAGAAGAAAAACCTGAATGGAGACTTTTCACTCATACCTTTGCATGGCAATTTGTGGGTATACCTGTGACATTTATTCCATCTGAGCGCTGACACCACACCGTGCGTACGTTGTCTCGCCAAAGGCTGGTTTTCCACAGGTAGTCATAACACGTCCCTCCTGCAATATCAACACCAGTTAGTCTTCACCTTGCCACAAAACCAGAACAGTCTCTTGAACTGGAGGCAGCAGTGCTGTGGCCACACTACCTGAGCAAGGCCGCGTTTCCATCGCTTGTCCGGAGCAGCTCTCCTGGTTCTCAGGAGACTGAACGACGAATGTCCTGGATCGAGACTGGCGCCCTGTTGTCTCGAAGCTCCTGCCGTTGATGCAGGTGAGCTCGCAGGAGCTCCACTCTGACCACTCTGTCAGGTGGCAGTCGCCTGCATGTTGACAGAATAAATCACAGGTTGTCAAAAGGAATCAGCCTTAAAGGATAAGGACAACCTAAGCATACAACAGCTCTCATAGTGAAATACCCCCAGTTTATCACTCAGTGGTATGCAATATTCAGATTTTCTGCTTCCTGGTGCATCTCATTTTCTCGAAAAAGAGTAGAAGTCTTTTTCAGATGATCTAGAAACAGCAGAGCATGAACCTGATCTGCTGAAGTACAAATTCTTACTACAGCAACTAACAGTACTCAGAGCTATGGAAGCATCTCCATCTCCAACAGCTATCACAGGCAGAAACGCACTGTGAGTTTCCAAAGGCCTTACCTGGGCAAGGCACAGAGCACGGTAACTGCAGCACGCTCTCTTTTGATGGCAGCTCACCACATAATGCATTTTCTACTGGTTTGGATGTAGCAGAAACGGATGCATCATGCACTACACACGTGAGGCTGCGGACTTGCAGTCCATCTCCACACTGTCCACCCTATGAAACGATAGAAGGGAACAGAGACACACGTCGCCGATGTTAGCAGATGACATAAGAAACACAGTTGATTCTGCCCAAAAAGACTTCAGAGACACAAATTTGGTCTTTGGACTGCAACAGTGTCGCCAGCTATGGGAAGACAGATGGAGATCTCCTGTGTACAGGTCTCTACAGAAGCTCAGAGGCAGGGGCAGAGCCACACAGAAAAGTGTGTCGTAACCAGAGCTGGAGAAGAGGTGTGTACCATAAAAGATGAATGCTGTCTTTGGGGTCGGCCCTTCATGCCTTTTACTAGAACTAGTGAATTTACTGATTCTTAATTAGTGCCCAGCTACACGAATACAGAAATTTTTGGCTTCTCTAAAGAGGCCAAGAGCAGAGCCTGCCCGTAAGGAACGGACATTTCCACTCACATCCCGTGACGACAGGGCTCAACAGGAGCACTCACACGGCTTAAACCCTGCAACAGCAACAATCCTCCAGCACATTCAACTGGACTGCAAGGGTCACGGCACCCTAGGCTGCCTGGGCACTGGGTCCGTGAGCAGGAACGGCTCTCCTGCACACGCCTGGTGGCTTTCTCATCCCTCCATCCCTTCTGTTGCAGACCCCCAAAGAAACAGAAGTACGAGCATAACTATCTGGATTTAGAGCAGTTCCTAATCAAAAGCATCTTAGAGAAGTATTAGTGTAGATTTACTATATGCTGCCAGATTTCAAGTTTTTCACACCGTGTTTCACTTTCGTCAGTATGTAACTTACTGTTCTAAATTACTGTTTCACCACCAAAACCTCTATTGCGGTCTGAGATTAATGGTGTGTGAATAACTCACGCAGCTGTCAATTGGGTTAGAGCTCTTAGAAATGGCTGGTGGAAACAGAAGATGATGTGGAGAAAATTCTCAGGGGAAATGGACACTAATCAATCTGCAGTGTATTTCCAGCTCAAAGGGGCTCAAGGAATGACTAAAGATTACTGGAAAGGATGAAAAAAGTTTTTAAAAAGATACTTATTCTTGTGTAAACAATATATAGAAGTTTATATACATATCAATATACAAAAAGTTATATGAATATTGAGAAATAAATATAAATAATAGGGAAAACAATACATTTTTTTGGTGCAGCAGTCTCCACTATAAAAGTCCACATGCTTCAAAGCAGCATGCTTCATTCTTCTATCATGCAATATTGGGAACACATTCATATTTTCCAAAGTTTAGCATGAAAAATAAATAGAAGCCACGGACTCTCAAACAACTCCAAAGATAAAAGTGCTCTTTTTAACAGTGACTTCCACTTGCTTGCCTTCTTTCAAGACCAGCAGTGTGTTTTGACAATCAATTGAACACACTTAAAAGATAAAGTGTCATCCTGTCACTTATAGAGGGAGATGTTTTTTGGTGTATTTGGCAAGGTCATAAGCAATGCAGAAGCACTGGATTAACTTCCTCATCATCTTAAAAATTATTCATGACCCCAAAATTATACATTTAGAGATCTAATTAATAGGTGTGGAATCAGTGGAAGTTTGCTGCTGTAACGGCACACTGAGGATGCAGGGAATAGCTGCTAATCAGAGGAGAACTGCCAAGGAGATGATCACATATTCAAAACTTGGGGGATCAAATCTGTATTGTAAATGCTCTCCCTTGGAAGATGTGATCACCTGAGGTTTGCCTAGAACCAGTATTTGCCTCTTGAGTCACGAGCTTGTGGCAGGAGATACGCAGGGATTTGACTTCCAGAGGGGATCCCCCCCATTTGGCTCCAAAAATTTCAACACTAACCCTATGGAGGATGCAGAACCCACCCTGGGTCCCCCAGATGTAGCCTGGAGGTACGGGGCTCCCCAGGAGCACCTGCACGGAGCCTCCACCTCTCACCCCTCTCGCTCCAGCTGACCAGCAGTAAAACAAGGAGATGGTTTACACCAGGGCTGTTTTGACAGCCAGGGATCTTCTGAATTGACCAACCCTAACGGCATCTGCACAAACCCTCCCTCGCATCGCCCTCCGACGCTTCCCCCATACAACACACTAATAAGACAAAAGACCTAATGAGATGCGTTGCCCAGATGTGCCTTTAAAAAAAGTTCTCCTTTTTCAGCTTTTACTGGGGTTCATGTGTGTTCACAATTATTTTAGGTAAAGTCTTGATTGGGCAATGCTTCCACAGGCTGATGAGCATTTAATCAGCTAAAAGTTCTCTTTAATGAGGAAGCGTTGCATGACCACGTTATGAGGGGGTGTTTTTAAAGGACGTTAGAAAGGAAGGGTTCTTAGTCCTACGAATGCTAGGCAGCTGGTGCCTGATGATGTTTAGCTACTTCACTTATATTCCTTTAATTGAAAAATTATGAACAGTGTCAGCCACTGCTAATTTTTTTTTTTTAAGCTAATCAGGGTAAACCACTTCAACTCCAGCAGGAAAATGATTAATGTAATGTAACCTTTTAAGATTAGGGTTGCATTGACCATTTCCTAAGTTCTGCACCCCTCTGAATGCTGCAGAAACGGCCCAGGCCTGCCGGACGTGTGCCTGTGACATGTGTAATTACCTGGAGAGCAACGCACCGAGTTCTGTACAGTGAAAATCAGCAATACAGAACGCTTAGCAGGCTCCATTCCGAAACACGCAGACACCTCTTATTATTCACATGAAGTCAATTTAGCATAAAATAGTCCTTCTACAGTTAAGAAATACAGTCTCAGTTATCTCATAACACAAGGAGAAAATATTTTAGCCTTGTAATTAATTGTCCTGTTTATATTATTATAGGAAGACACCTTCACAATGTGCGTGTTGGTCTTACCATAGCATGGCATTTACATTATTTCACAAAGCATCCTTGAAAACAGGACTTCCAAAAGCTTCCTTTCGAAAGTAAGCTTAAGCTTATTTCCAGTAAGGCACAGGAATAAATCACCCTGTATTTATGAACCACACTGAATTCCTAAGCACCTCGTTAAAGAGAAGTGAACACGAATAAAATGGCTCCTCTCCAAAACAAAGTAAAGGGTAGAGAAAGTACATCACAGTAACTTAAGGAGAGAAGCAGGCTCTATCTCACTGAAAGCACAGGATGAGATCTGGTTAGGGAAGGCTGTGATTACTTGCTCTGGGCTGAAACTTCAGTGGGTTCTGGATGCGCGCACTTTTAATCTGCACAATGAGTTACTCATCTGGAGTACACCAGGGTGTTAATTCAGCTTCCCTACTAATTCTTTTATCAGCTCTGCTAGCTCCTATGGTTGAAGGTCTCCTCCCTAATGCTTAACAGAATTTGCTTACATTATCTGGACAAAATATCAGCTAATGTTATGAATTTATTATATTTATGTTAAACACAAATAAATACTGAGTGCAGTACATACAAAGACCACATTCACATCGCTAGTTGCCATGAGTTGTTGTTCACTATATAAAAGATAAATCTATATCTGTTTCTCTGGTCTTGGACTGTCCAAAGACTGTTCTGCTCCAGTTTTCATCAGTGAAAACCTGGGAAAACTCTGGGTAGGTATTCTGCCACCCGCAGTATTCGCTACACGTCCATCTACCACACCTAGAAACCAGACAGGTATTCCAGGCATTCACAGCATAGCAGAGGGCAGAGCAGAAATCACAAGGGATGTGTCTTTACGCACATTATTGGCTTCAGTCTCCTACATGGCGTAATATGGAGAAGCAGCCACAGATTTGCACAGAGGTCCTGTCCCCAGGGACCAGACAGGGCACTCTTCCACCCCAACCACACTTGTCCCACCAGCATCTCCGCAAAGCTGGCTTTAAGCAGCCCGACAGGACTTTGCCCACAAAACACCAGTGTGAAAGTGGAAGTGTTCGAGGCCAGGTTGGATGGAGCTCTGAGCAACCGGGTCTAGTGGAAGATGTCCCTGCCCATGGCAGAGGTTTGGAACCAGATGATCTTTAAGGTCCCTTCCAACCCAAACCATTCTATGATTCTATGAAAGATTCACCCCTGCTTAAACTGGGTTACTGACTGGTATGTTTTAGAATTGGAAATGCGATCTAGTAGACAAGGACAGGGTGGAATTCATTGTAGCCTGATGCAAGTCACCGGCAGGGAGAAAATGACAGCTGCAGTGACGGCAATGTGGAGGTGCCGAGCGCAGGTGCAGCACATCGCAACTGAATCCAGCCATTTTTAGATTGTTGAGAAGACAGCCAGGCTAAGGAGAAAGTAGAAACCAGCACTTCATACAATAACTCACACTATTGTACCGGAGACCTTGTGAGGAAAGACCTGCTGTACAGTACTTTAAAAAAAACAAGGCGGGGGGGGAGGGGGGGGGGGGGGAGGGAATGATTTAAAAGACTAAGTGCTCTTGAAATCTAGTGTATCTATTTTCCTGTTAGAGTTATTTTATATAATTAAATTATAGGTCCCCATGACTATGCTCACTCAAGCACATTTACTCCGTAAATCTCCTTTAATACCTCTATAAGCTCGCGGTACTTGAACCCGCATTGTCACAAATCGCTGCAGACGGCTGGAAGATGAGGTGCCGCAGTTTACCGCTCCTGAACTTCCCCTGCTTTCCCATGGACCTTACCAGCACCTCCAACAGTCCCAGAGACCCCTCCAACCCGCGACCGGCGGCCCCAATCCATCGGCAGGGAGACCACGGCCCCAGCAGCCAGCTGTAGCAGGGCTTCACCGGGCAGCTCCGGTGCTGGGTGAGCTGCTCCGGGCAGGGTCTGCCCTCGCCCGCTGCCTGCAGGAGCACCGAGCGCCCGCGCACCATCTGGCCTAGGCGAGGGGAGGAGAAGGGACACAGTGAAGGAGAGAAAGGCAGATTTTGTGATTTATCGTTCTTTTGAATTCATTTTCCACCACTAAAATTGGTTAAAAAAGCAATTAATTGGGAAGACAGTTTGGATAATACGGATGCAGTTATTAAGCCTAAGTGATGCAGTCACTGATACTTTCAAACACAGTTTTTAAACACTGTTTAGTATGTTTTCCAAATATATTATTTGTTTATGCAACACATTTAAATACTTGACTAAATCCTGATTATTAAATATGACAAGAAAATAATTCCTACGGCAGCATCATCTCTAACATTACACATTCAGTGTGTTTCCAGAGATTTTTAACAAATGAAATCTTCTTTTTATGAGCAATTACGTGCAACTGCAAACACGCTAGTAGCTATTACCGTCCATAACCACTTCTGCCATTTCCATTAAAATCCTGTTTGTTATTGGTGAAAACTTCTTCAGCCACTGAATGGAAAAAGCAATTATGTTACTACTTTTGAAATACAAAAACTGAATATATTCATTAAAGTTACAGCAGTTCCATTTCCATCTCCTTTGCTGTCCATTTACTTCCAGGAATGCTTTCACTCAAAATGTTTCAATTAGAATCCCAGCTCCAATTAAAAAGAAAAGTCAAGAAAAAAAAAAAAAGCAAGCCCTTATAAAACGGGACGCAGAAGATTGTGCTTGGGATAAAATTTTTGCCCTGGATTTTCAT